GCAACTTGTCCGCAACTTTCAACTCGGGAACCACAAAAGCTAGGAAGCTGAAAATTTAGGGGAACTCATTCCCCACCTACGTGTGACCCCGCAAATTTAAATTCAGCTTCCCCGTACCCGCGGGTAACACGTATGGTCGCGCGAAAGTTTTTTACGGATAAATTAATATCTCGAGAACCACGGAGTCTAGGAGACTGAAATTTTAGGATAATCACCCCTGTACACGGTCAACTTTGCCTATTCAAATTCAGCGTTTCCGTGTTCTTCAGTATCACCTACGGCCTTGTGAAAATTTTGGCGGGTAAACTATTAACTCGGGATAAAGATATTCAGTCTTCAAGGTTTTGAATCTAGCTTTCATGCGCTGGTGCGTGAAATTTTTGACTGCTTTCCAATGTTTGAACTACTTTTGTATAGACAAAAGGAGAAAGCAGTGAAAATCATTAATAGGCAATCAATCGTTCGATGGACTGAATTGCACAAAACGCATGGTCGCACCGGCTAGTCTGGTGCACGTTGCTATTTATTTTGATTGCAAACCTACCGTTTCTTTAGTATTTGGTCGACTGAGTACCAGTACAAAAGAAGCAGTGAAAACAGATGCCAAGAGAAACCACTTCATTGTCGGTATTCGCTGAAAATACATTTGCGCCAATGGGGATTCTACAGAAATAGTTCAGATAAGAATAGTTTCGTATTTCTTATGTTAAAGCCAAAACAATGAATGCCTTCCACGGTAACTTTCGCGCGGTATCAAATTTCTTGCGCAGAATCACAAAAATAATCCTAAAGAAATTGAAGGAAATGGACAAAAGATTCATTTCAGCTCAAGAAATGAAAAACAATGAGACAACCGAACAAAGATTACCTAGAAGTGGCATCATAACGCATGAACACCGGAACAGCTGCCACTCTCGGTTGCTGGCTGAATGTTTTCGATGTAGTTCAGAGATCAACTTGCCGAGACGTTTTGCTATCCCAGCAAATTGCATTCTTCCGGGGATATCTCTGCCGGGAGATAACAATCCTGTGAGTGGAAAATCGGGAAGACATATATTCCGCTTTGATTTCTGCCATTTCATATGTCGCCCTAGCTGCAAGCAATAATATCACACATGTTCGAGGATTCTGAAACTGCGCTGTTCTTCCAAAGCATCCAAAGCAAATAAAATAAATGGCCAGCACACCAAATGCCGGTGCGAAGATGCGTTTTATGCACAGTTCGCCGCAGGTTTTTATCGATAACGGCACTGGTTTTTCCTGCAGATGCTTGTAGCTAAACGAACTGAGACTGGCCGCTAGAACTGTCAGAAAATAGCCCCCTAATTTAGTGTCTCCCGAGTTAGCAACTTACCCGAAAAAAAAATTTTCCGCGCCGGTAGGCGGGAACTACGCATATCCGGTGTCTGGGTTTGAGCTCATTAACACCTGTGTGGACTGGAAACACTTCCTTAAAATTACAGACTTCTAGCTCTTCAAGTTCCCGAGCTAGCAACTTACCCGAAGAAACTTTAACGAGCTCGTACTTGGGTACCACGTGGTAAGGATGCCCATTTTGGAAATGGGGCCTGTACATACACGCAGATTAAGTTCCCGAAATTTCAGCCCTGTAGCTTTTGTAGGTATCTAGATGAAAAATCGGTACAGACGAACACACACACAAACTCAGACAACCCCTCGCCAGTATGCGTTTTCTGCACTGCATAGATGCAAAAAACGCGTAAAAACATAGTTTGTTTGACACTAGCAAATCGCTGCTTCGCATACATCACTATTCTTGTATTCCATTTTCAAACGATTAAATTTCATCCTATTTCTATTTTCCTTCTCTATCTAGAACTGCAAATTCACTTTAAGCTTTTAAATCTCTCTATTCCTTTTAATTTATACAATAACCGTTGTACTGAGAAGCTCCACCTGCGATGCTAATTATTGTTTCGTTTATTTGTAACTTGCGTTCGGGATAATACTTATTTAGATTTTGCACTGGTATAGGTACAGTTGACTTATATTGGAGTAGCAGAGGAGACAGTTGTATAAGTTGAATTTTTGTCGAATTTAGTAACTTCTTGGGGAAGTGAGTGGGAGAAAAGCGCTCGATTTCTTATTTCATATTTATTTTCTGCGGTTATTCGGTTCTTTTCGCAAAACAGAATTGCTTTCCAATAGTAATTATGAAATGTGATGTTTGTTCAGTTTTCAGCAAAAAAAATAAATAAATAAAAGGTACTGCACGCAAAAATCTTTAGTATAAGGAGAAGTAGGTGTAACTGAAAAGGACTGTTCTGGTCCATTGATTCCTATGTATTGCTAGAAAGCATTTCTGTAATCGAGGTATAAAGATGTCGGAGCGATTATGCATTTTTGTGCGATTTCGTGAAGCAGTCAGATCGTCAACAATATGGATGATCAAATGTTGATTTACACCCCGATTAATGAACTCACTGATGAATTCATTTCGATATTCATGCCCAGTCATGCGTTTTTTGCATCTACGCAATGCAAAAACGCATATTGTCAAGAGATTATCTGTGTGTGTTTGTGCGTTCATCTGTACCGATTTTTCATATTGAGACCGACGAAAGCTACAAGGTTGAAACTTTGAGAAATTAATCTACATTCACATACGGGCCGTCATTCCCAAAATGGGTGTTCTTACCCATGTGACTCCCAACTACGACTCCGTAAAAGTCTTCGGCGAGTAAGCTGCTAACTTTGGCAGCAGAAGAGCTTTAAAGATTGAATTTTAAGGTGAAGTTCCCTGTCCACGCAGAGTTTGATGAGTTCAAAACCAGCCCCCAGGTATGCATGGTTCCCATGTACAGGCCCGTGAAATTTTTTTGCGAGTAAGTTGCTAACTGGGAAAACTAAAAAGTCAGAAACCTGGAATTTTAAGAGGATGTTCCTCGTCCAGCTACAATCTAACGACTTAAAATTCAGCCCCCAGGTGGAAATTTGTTGCGGTACGCCGATTGCGGCATCCAGACTGACTGTGAATGCCAAAGTGTCCAAGGCGTATTGGATACAAAGCAGGGAAGAATGAGGAGAGGCAGGAATGATATAAGACGTTTCGTCCATTAAGTCATATACGTCTTAACTCAACCCTATGACAGGACCTCCTCATTATGACAGTCGCAGCGTTTAATGAAAAAGGAAGAGAAAGGATAAAGAGATAGAGGAAGATGGAAGGAAAAAAAAGGCCAGAGCTGTGACTGCAGGATCGGTAAAAGAAGGGGGCGTGGGTGAGAATAAGGTAAAAAGGAGTATATGAAAGAGGTTTAAAAAAAGATTATAAAATGGACTTTAAAGAGAATCGAAGGAAGGATTTTAGGAAAGCATTTAAAAGAACCAAAGAAAAATTTAAAAAAAGAAAATAAAGAACATCGAACGCGAAGGTTCTGCTTTCCCGCAGGAATCCTTCCACATTTCCTTTGAGACATTCGTAAGTGAGAATTAGTCGTAGGTGAACGAATTTAGGCCCGTTTGGAGCAAAGATTTTAAATTCCGCTTTGGGATAAGCCTAGGTCTCAAGCGCAATTAAAAGTACAGTTCGGGGCTGCTGTATTCATTCAACTTTAGGTTGAGATGGTAGCACATAGGTGAAGGAACATGAAAAATTTTAGTATCCTCGCTTTTTCGACTGCTACTCTGAAATTAGGTGACGAAATCCGAACACACACACACACACACACATACGCATGTGGAGATAACCTCTCGGCAATATGCATTTTTTTCATAGCATTAGTTTTTTCTTTTTTTTCAAAAAAAACAAAATTGAAAAGGACGCCCGAATGGCTGTAACAGTAGGGAACTATTAGTCCGATAGAAAGCGTATGCAACAATCCACGCAACGAACACAGCAAGTTTATCACAATAAATTTCATAAACTGTACACACAATGCATTGCTCAGAAAGCATTGTCGTCATCCAAATTATCATCCGAGCCAACATCACCATAATTTTCTCCGTTATCAAAATAGGAATGTACATAATCATTATCTTCTTCATTGTAATCAACATCAGACAACGCATCCTGCAATGAATGTTGGAGTCTGGAAAGAGATTCTAAATCGGGAATAAGAAAGCTGAACGTCTAATGAACTCATTTTTATGCAGCTATGCAATGCAGAAAATGCATATTAACGAGGCGTTGTCAGTGTGTGTATGTGTCTGTGGGCCTGTGTGTGCGTA